ATTATATGAAAATCAGCAACGTTATCTAATTAACTTTATATAGAAACCTAAGAGCTTTTGTTTTAAAAAAGCTAAAAGGGGTAAATGTAAATTTCCATTTTACTTTTCTGTTGGATTGACTGTACAATGAGATGTAGAGAGAGAACATAAGGGTTTTTTAAGTATTAATAGTGACTTCATTCATTGGATGTTGTAAATTATTTTGGAAATCAGCACCATTTGAATGGTGCAAAACCCTGGGTTCCTTATTTTTTCCCCTTTTCATATGGTACAAAAGGAAAAGAAACTTCAAAAAAACAATGTATTTTAGAGGCAGAAGGCAAGGCAAGGCAGCATCTTAGAAACTAACTGATTCAGGGAAGCATGATATTTCATAGGCAACAGCCTATTTTGTTAGATGCTAAGAAAGGACCCGTGAACTATGCAAGAGAAAGTATGATTGAAATAGCATAAACAGTTGTTGCCTACATTAGAAGGTTGCACCAAATGAACTAAATTTAACTTAGTAGGATTTTCTATGAATAGCTTATGTAAAATAGAAGGAAACTGGTTTTATGTAAGATCAGTCAGTTTTCTTCTGCATAAAAATGGTTGACAGACAGAGCCAGATGGAAAGGAAAACTGGCCAGCATTTTTTAATCTCCTTCCTTTTGGTAGCTGTTTCTCCATCTCAGTATTTGGATGGGAGTGAGGGTTATCAACAAATGTGGCAAGAGTCATACGTAAGAATTAGAAGAAATAACAAGCAGGGAACTATCATCCATCCTTATGTGATGCTTTGAAAATGTGTATGTACTCTAAGCTACAGCAAGCCAGAGGTTCCTGACTCTTGTTCCTTCACAACTGCCACAGACCTTGTTTTAATGCTTTTCATTTTGACCTTTCCCCTCTGTACTCATCATGTCAGTCTCTTGACTTCATCCAGCACTTCCTTCCATTACTTGTCCTCCCTCAAACTTTGTATTGTCACTGAATCTTTTGATATCTTAGGCTTCCTTTTAATGCAGCCAGACTTAAAGATTTTCTAGTGTCCAGCTGAAGGGAAAAAAAGTATGCAGCCTATTTGCTGTACCATAGCTTCAAATTATCTTTTTAAACATGCACATGTGAATGGAAGTATGCCCTTCCTGTGAAGAAAGTATCAAGAGCTTTATAAATAGTGAGCTAATGTGAGACTATCATCGATATTAAGTGCATTGAACAATGTATATTTATATTTAATTATATAGCAAGGCTAAGAGCCTTTAAACCTGGATAAGTTGACACTCACATAATTTAAAAATAGTTCCTTCAGAAATTACATGCTAAGTTTTAGGCCAGATCAAATTTTTATAGGTAAATTGAAGAGGGCACCACATAGATTATAAAAGTGTTATCATATTTAACTTATGTCATGCACCAGAGTATTTTGTACAGTATGGAAATGGAAAAGGGACTATACGACTGTGTTTAAATCTTGAGGAAACCTTTTCCCTGTACCATATGGAGATATATGTACAGTCCCGACACAAAGTTAAATATCTCTGCCCATCTGAAAACCATTGGATTATATGCCCAAATTGGGTGATATCATGCCATTGATGGGAACCTTCAATTTTCCAGACATCTACTGGAAAAATAATACAGACAAATATAAAATATCAGGAAAGCTCCTAACTTGTGTGGAGGGCAGCTTTCTGTTCCAAAAGCTTAAGGGCATCATATATCTTAGATCTCGTCCTGACTAATAGGAAGAACCGGTGGAGTATCTGAAGGTGATAGAAAACTTGGGAGGAAGAGATCATGATATGATAGAAGTCAAGATCCTGAAAATTGGGAAAGCATGATGTCAGCAGAACTAAGACATTAGATGTCAAAAAGTTTGATTTGGAGTGACTCAAGGAGATGGTAGGCATGGTGCCATAAGAGGACAGACTAAAGGATAAAGGTGCCCAGGAAGGCTGGAAGCTTGTAAAGGGCACAGTATCAGAAGCCCAACAAAAAACCATTCTGACACAATGGAAGCACAAAAATAGCAAGACAAATATGGCTATATGAAGAGCTTCTAGGATGAATTGAGTGCAAAAAGAGAGCATACAGGCAGTGGAAAAATGGGCAAGGTCACCAAGGAAGCATACCAGAAAATAGCAAGAGCTTGCAGGGACAACATCAGGAAAGTGTGCGGGCCGGGAGCAATCCGGGGCCCTTTTTTCGCGCCGCGGGCTGTGGCCAGCAGCCCGGACACGCTGGGTCGGAGAAAGCAGGCGACACACTAGAATTAGGCACGGACGCGTAATGGTTGATTCAAGATTGTTTACTTACACCGTAGATGGTCGGGGGGTAGGCTGGACAGTTTCCCAGGTACAGCTCCGCTTAAATCCTTGTTTGAGGACTCAGACAAAACTCTCACTCACACAGAGTTGTTGAAGCTCCGTGGATCCTTTTTTCTGCGCAGGGAGAGGGATACGTCGAGGATTGCGCTCGGCGACGGGGAGAGGCTAGAGGCTGATCAGACCTCTGTTGCCTTCTTGAAATACGCTGGGTCCAATAGGCTCCGCAGCACTTAGAGATCTTCACAAGACGTGAAGTCTCCTCCTCCTGATGTTCGTGGAGTCCTCCAACTTGGGCGGAAACCACTCAAGCTTTTTATACGGCTAGCAAACCAATCACTAGCCCCCACGTGGGAATAATTTAGAAACAGCCAATAGTGGGGCACAAATTTAAATACAAATGGCGGGAACTCCTTGCAACGTGCATCTCTCTTCTGCAGCTAAGAAATGCACCCTGCAAAGAAAGCTACAAATTGGCGGGAAAATAATTCAGTGGTGCCAAAGCACACACAAAACAAAAATCACACCCTTGGGTTGTGACAGAAAGCAACAGGAAAAAATGAACTTCACCTTAAGAGTGAAGTTAAAGATAACAAGGTTTTATAAATATGTTGGCCAGAAAAGAAAAACCAAAGAAGTTGTGGATATGCTGTTAAATAGCCATAAGAATGCAAAGAAGGTGGAGTTGCTCAATAGGTTGCTCACAAAAAAAGGCTGCAATTAGGCAGCTAATGAAGATTATTTGGATAAGAAAAGGAACAAGATGAGGGATGAGAAAATAAAAGAAACAGAGAGCTTTTGATGCATCTAAATGAATTCAAGTCAACAGGGCCCAGTGAACTTCATCCCAGGATACTGAAGAAACTGGCAGAAGAAATCTCGGAGTGCTTGACAATGTTTACAAATTTATAGGAGGCAGGTGTGGTACCAAAGGACTGGAAACATAGTGTCCCTCTTTAAAAAAGACAAAAAGGAGGACCCAAGGAACCAGATAACCTCACCTCAATACCTGGAAAGTTACTGGAGCATAGTCTAAAGAAGTCCAGTTGCGAGCCGCCGGCATGGATTTACTATCAATAAAGCATGTTAGATAAACTTGATGTCCTTAGAAACAAGACAATTAGTTGGGTGGATGAAGGGAATGCAGCGGATATTGTGCATCTGAACTTCAGCAAGACTTCTGACAAACTTCCACATGACCTTCTAAAACAAACTGCAGAAGTGTAGCTAAACCAAACTACTGTAAGGTGGACAAACTGGCTCAATAGCTGCAAGCAAGTGGTAATTGGCTCCATGTTGGAATGGCAGGAGGATTTGAATGGAGGCCCCAGGATCTGTCCTGGTCCCAGCTGTTCAACATGTTTATTAATGATCTAGATGCTTGAACAGAAAGCTGCTTGAGCAAATTCATATAAGATATAAAACTAGAAAAGGTTGTGAACACGCCGGACGGCAAAAGCACAATTCAGAAGGATCTTTACAGACTGGAAAGCTGGGCTGGAGCTAACAGAATGAAGTTCAGTGCAGACAAGTGCAAGGTGCTACACTTCAGGAAAAGTATTCAAAAAGCACGGATTAAAATGGGAGACACCTAGTTAGATGGCAGCACTACAGAGAAGGATCTGGGAGTCTTAGTGGATTACAGACATAATATGAGTCTGCAGTGTGACACAGCTGCACAAAAGGTGAAAGCAGTTTTGGGATGTATCAACAGAAGCATTATATACAAGACATAGGAGGTAATAGTGCCTCTTACCTCTTGGCAACAGTTAGGCCTCATCTAGAGTACTGTGTGCAGTTTTGGTCCCCACAGTTTAAAAAAGGAATGGAGAAGTTAGAGATTGTCCAGAGATGGGCAACAAAAATGATAAAAGTTTGGGAGGAAAGCCAGGCGAGGAGAGACTGAAGGAAAAAGGCATGTTCAGTTTGCAGAAAAGGCACCTACTATGGAATATGATAGCAGTCTTCAAATATCTTAAAGGCTGGCACAAAGCCTTTTCCCTCTTGCTGCAGAGAGGAGGACACAAACCGAAGGACTGAAGTTGCAGCAAAGTAGGTTCTGGTTGGATATCCAGAAAAACTTCCTCGCTGTTAGAACAGTGAGGCAGGGAATTCACTGCCTAGGGACTCTCCGTCACTGGAGGTAGAAGTTGGACAACCATTGGTCAGGGATGATCTAGGAATAGCTATGCCTATAATATGCATTTTCCATGCTTCTGGGCTTTTCTGATTGTCACATGGGGCTGGGAAGGAATTATTTTCCCCTCCTGTTCCTACATACCAAGTTTTTCTTTTTTCCCCCACCCCATCTTCCTTAGTGGCACTGCAGCCAAAGCTAGGGATTTCAACTGGAGTGTGCCAGTGCTCCTGCTGGGACTAAAACCCAGAAGTCCCTGGCTAGAGAGCTGTCCTCCTGCTTTACCTATGGGATGTAGGGTGTTGTTTGTGTCAGGGTTGACTGTGTAGTTTTACGAATAAGACAGACAAGGATTTGCAGGCTATGGTTTGGATAGAAATGATCCTGTCACTGGCAGGGGGTTGAATTAGATGACCATCAGAGATTACATCCAGCCCTACTTTTATATAATTTTATGACTGGGAAATTTATTTTAGGAATGTAAATGAGAAAAAACCCTGTAAAATATCATCTCTAACATAGTGCTTTGAAACGAAGACTATTATTACAAACACATTTTACCAAAGAAATGGGAAAAATGCTTATTTTAATAAAAGGTTTTAATTCAAACATGACTACATAATGTACTACTAACTGTAAAAAAAAAAAATAAAAATTCTAAATTACTTTTTCCTGTGCTTGACAGTTCTTCTCTTTGTTCATATACATGAGTAGTAGAAAAAAGGAGAGGGGAGGGAATGTGAGTGAGGGAACTCATCTCAACCCAATACCCTCTTAGAATTATTAGTTATAGTAGAATAAAAAAGGTTAATAGTCATCATAATTAACACTTGCTCCATGCCTGAAGGTATGTGGATTTCGTGGACCAATAGGTGCATCTTCATCATAATGGTGCTGGTAATATCCACCATAGTATTCATTGCCACCCCGTCCCAGGCTTGTCCAGTAGGAGACATCATCTTCAAATTTCTGCAAACCAAAGAGGAATTTATCTGCTTGTATTCTAGACTTTCCAGCCTTTATATACAAAGGAGAAAAGAATAGCGGTGTTGGTTTCCGGAGTCTCTGATTTAGAAAATGCACATTTTAAAAATATTTTTGGATTTACAGCTATGTTATACACAGTATTAACCACTCAACAAATAAAGAGAATATTACACTAAAAATATAAAAAAATACTTTGGAGAAGCTAATTTTTAGCATAGTGCTGATGATCATAAAAACACTTGGATGACTTTAAATTAGTAAACAGTAGGTCTGGTTTTCTCTTGCCTTGCACCATGTGTAGACACATGCACTCTGAAATATAAAGTTAGAGTTAGTGTGAAATATTTTTCATTCACATATGTGTGTGTGGTTACAATGCGTCAAGGAA